ATACATACATACGTACACAGCATACATCACGTGTGACCTTTCCAACGTGATTACGTAATGCAGGGCGCATCGCAGAATTCTGCAAGACGAGCATAAAAGTATATACATATATATATTATACATTTATATACATTTATATTTTAGATCGTTTCTCTAGATAAGACCCTTATTCCATGGCTGGGATCGTGTAGAGCCCTTTGAAGCGGCATTGAAACTACAATTTAGACCTTCCCATTGGTTGCCATTGAAGTCCACTATATGGAGAAATATCCTGGAATGTTTTCCTCAAAAAACATCATTTCTTTTCGACTGAAGAAAAAAAGAAAGACATAAACATCTTGGATGACATGGGGGTGAGTAAATTATCAGTACATTTTAATTCTGAAGTGAACTAATCCTTTAATCATAATCATGTGAACAGGAACAAAAGTTACAAAGCAAAACACTTTGTTTTGATGGTTCCCTTTTAGACACTCTGTTAGACACTCTGCACCTGTCAACTAACTCTCAATAGAATATTAGTTGAGTATTAGTAGACTGTCTGCTTAATATCTGCTAACACTTTATTTTGATGCTCCACAACAGACATATTACTGAAGTAACTTTGCAGGTACATGTCAACTTGTTCTACTAGTCCTAACCTTAACCCTAGCAGTCTCCTACTCAACTAATACTCGAATGGGTGGTAGTTGACATAGGTGCAACATAATGTCTAAAGGAGACCATGAAAATAAAGTGTATCAAAGCTATTAGTGTTTCAGCCACTGGTGTTCATTTCAGCTGGAAACTGCAGTGAATTGTAGCCTATATGTATGTTTTTGAGTTTTGCAAAAATGGAGCCTGTTTATCCAGTGATGTTTTCATTGCCTTGTATAAGGAATTTTTTAAAATACCCATCAAAATAGGGAAAAATCGATATGTACAGCATCAACACTGGTGCATTGCACATGTGAAATAAGAGATATTTCGAAGTTAAAGTTCTTCCCTGAACACATTTCTGTAACATAAGGGAGCCATTACTAACTTGTCAGCACATACGTGCATGTGAAAGTATAAGCTTGAACACTGAGGCACTTGGAGGCAGACGAGTATTGCAGCAGAAACCAAATTCCTTTTCTAAATAGGAAATACAATAACAACGGCATAGCTCTGGAAGGAAACGTGCCCTATGGAACAGAGACGGGTTGAGTGACGGTTTGGCAGCGATGTGAAACTGGTGGTTTTCTGAAAAAAATCAACGATCAGAGTCCGGGCAGACACTTGCGTTCTCTTGCATTTTATCAGGAGTGAAAACGTCAAGATATCAGGAATTACTCAAGACCGTATCACACATAAGAGCCCTTGAGGGACTCCTGAAGCTTTTGGGATGAGATGAGTATCTACACATGGTAGGGTAAATGTTGATACAGGGCTGATGGATGGAGCGGGGAAATGAAATAAATTATAACCAGAACATGTATTAATTTGTCTAGGGAAAAGCAGAGTGTTCCTAAGGATGAAACTATTTATCCACTGATGTCCAGACAGAAAAGGCTCGGAAGATGAATTCCCTATAATTTTACTTGCACTCCAGCACTTTTTAAACAACAATGACAAAATGATTATTTTATTTTTTTAAACTTCTGTTCTGCAGAGGCCAAATTCCGAAACCACAAAAAACCTTGGCTGCATCCGAAAAGCATGCTCTCTTGAAGAGGTACTTATTTTGAATAAGTAATTACTTCATGACCTCTAAAAAAGTATGTTCTAGTATGAATGTGTAGTATGAATGTAATCTGGACGTACTAGTTCACCATGTTGTCATTACCATGTGACCTACCAGTGTCAGTTATGTCACTTCACTGTCATTCATAAGTCTCCCGTGGCCTCTTGGGATAGTAAAGTGTCCATCGTATGCACACTTAAGAATCTCGCTGGAAGTAGTAGGTCATCCGGGGACTTTTTACCTACTCTTTTATGAGTACTGTGAATTCGGGTATACTTCGTTTGTCACATCCTGTTTTTCGCCTAGTATATAGTAGGGAAGTATGCGATTTCGGATGCAGCCGTTGTGTTTTTTCAATGTTTATATATTTTTTTCTTTATAAATTATATTGTCAGCTTGCCAATTTGAATGAAACCTGTTTTTGTTTTTGTTTTTTGTACTTGACTTTTCCTATTTCTTTAACAACAATTGGAGCTGAAGAATTCCACCAGTTTGTGCAAAACCTGATGATCATGTTATCCAGCATAATTTTAGAATGTTCCACATTTAATTCGAGACTTGTAAATACTGAAGAACTTAAAATATGTATTCTTATTCCTCTTAACATCTCATTGTTTTACATTTTTCAAAATCCTAAAACTTTTATCCCTATAGGATTACATGGGGAAATTAAAGCCATATCAGTCTAATCAGACTTTTGGATCCCACTTTCTGTTTTTCATCTTTTCTTTTTGCAGTATCTAGGTGAAGCTGGCATGTCTTGACATACACCAGCCACTATTAAAAGGCTACATTATACAACCACAGCTGTTGGTATAATATGTCAGGTAGAATAAAGCACACAAGAGTTATGGACACAAGAGATTTACTTGAGTACAGTCAATTTTACTCCACTTACACTAAAAAATGCTGGGTTGTCTCAGCCCATGTTTGGACATGTATGAACAAACCCAACCGTTGGGCTTACAATTTAATAAAAAAAATTGGACCCAAAATATGGGTAGAAACAACCCAGCATTTTTGTTAGAGTGTAGCTCCCAAACCCTTAGATGTAACTAAACTCTATATCAAAATGCATTTTCTTGCCAATACGCTGTATTTCAATCAAGTTTATGGTGAAATGTTGATTTCAGTACTCATCATAATTCATTAATAATTCATCACTCTGAAGATTTTATGTACCCTGACAGAACCGCACCATATAGTGCAAAAAAAGTAAATGATAAAAAATTATAAATGACAAAGAGTTAGAATTAATAGTCTCTAAACTTTTCCCAGAAACAATATTTATCTGTGGAAGATTTGGTTGAAACCTGCAAAGTAAATCACTTTTAGTCATAGTGTTGAAATATCATGTTATGGATTGGTGCACAGTATCCATAACTCTCAACAGGTTGTGGGGACAAAGATTTATTTAGCATTAAATTGGAGCATGTGCTGTTATATAATTTTAGAAGGTATGCATTGTTTTTGTTTTTTTTATTATTGGAGCTGTTAAAAAATTGTATGCAACTGTATCTCCGAATAACCCATAGCTACACTCATAACTATTATTTTTCTATGTATGAATATGTATCCACCCTGACACAATAATCCGCATGTAACCAGTTATCTTCACATAGGTCTCTGTGATTATTCGACTTAATTGAAGATGATCTAAGACAAAATATATCATAATTTATTAAGCATTCTAAATTAACAAATGTGTGAAAATATGAAACAACTGTTAAACTATATCTAAGGCACAACAGAACTGGGACAACGACGGGAAAACTCATGAAGGGAAAAAAAGCTTCAGGAAAACAACATGCTGTGATCCGGACGAGCACTTGGAGCTTCCAGGACGGTGACCCAAACAGACAGCAATTTTAAGGTTTCAGAAGTTTAGTGTCCTGGCGTAGCCCAGTCACACCCAGAGTCCGGTCCAATTGCGCATCTGTAAAACGAATTTTAAGAACGGCTCACAAACAGTCTCTGCGGAGACTGATGAGCTGGAGAGCAAACAACTCCAATTTCAAAACATCTGGCAAGGCTGTAAATACTATTAGGTAATCACGTCTATGATCAAGTAACTTAGGAATCGACTCGTATAAATGGCTATCAACACTCTAAAAAACCCTCTGTTGCTCTTCGGTCAGTTTTGACCCAAAAATTTTACATTCGTTTAAAAAAAAAAAAATTTATCGGAATGGTACGAAACTTGTTAAAGGTTTTGGCATTTGCTATGTGAACACACACACACACACACACAAAAAAAAAACATGGACATGATTCGAACAGGTTAAATGGTCCTGAAAAAAATAGTCACATTTGTGCTTCTGGCGGATTTAAAAATTTTTTTACCGTATTGGAAACAAATGGGAGACGAATTTCATCTAGTGGAACCTTCTGGTACTGCCGCCAAACAAAATCTTACTGAAAGCTCATTTTTTGAGATATCAACCTCAAACACAACTTGTTTAGATTTATGGCTTTGATTTTCTCAGTTTTAGAGTAAAACATGTTTTTGAAAATATATATTTCATGTAAAAATTGAAAATAGGATTTTCGCACATTTTTCATAACAATAGGCCTAAATGTAAAATTCTGTAACTTTTTTTTAAGTTAACTTTTTAAAACTTTTTTCACTTCACCAAAGAGATCAAACTTTGAAGTCTGTGCTCTAAAGCATTCAAGTTTTACGACAGTTTAAGTTGGAAATCAAAATTTGACATCAAAAAGTGAATAAATGTATTATAAATACAGCGTAAATATAATTTAGTACCATAAAATACCCTAAAAATGCAAAATATTTAATAAAAAACATTATCGAACTAAAATATAGTAGGCTACACTAATTTCATTGAAAAAAAAAAAAATTTAAACAATAAATCGTTGACAAACAAAGAGCACCAGAGCATTAAATATAAAGGTTCCAAGTTTTTGCAGTGATGCCATAGAAGAACGAATCTTGGTTCCCCAAAGAACATTTCAGTGAACAGTTACAGGTTATTTTATTAGTGTGATCGAAATTTGAAAAGGCCTAAAGAACATGTTCCCACAATAAAGAGCCTTTTGTGCAATAGAAAGGTTCCATGGATGCTAAAAGTTCTTATGGAACCATACAATTTAATGTCAAATAACCTTTATTTAAAAACAACAACGAGAAGGTTAAAAATGGTCATAGTGTCAGATTCACAAAAAATAAAATAAATAATCCTGCATGGTAGTAATGATTGATGATTGACAACACATCACGACCTTGGCTCGGTGTTTTCTTCTTCTTGAGCTGAATGAGGAGTGCTCGAGTGGGCGTGCATGAGTTCTCGCTTTATAAACGCTGCGAATGGGCTTCAACACAGACCTCACTTGTTGAGTGATCTCTATGAGGACAGTCGAACGACACCTGACACACCTAAAGACTCCATTTGAGCGGCAAATGACGACGGCAATGATGAAAGGATGTGTGTTGTTCATCTGCTTGTTCTTCACAGTGTTTCAGTCCATCACGTGCGAAGCGAACCGGATAGATGCGCGCAAAAAACACGAAAACGACGTGGACCACCACAGCTCATCCATAACAACAGGTAACACATATTATGTAATAATGTATTTCAAATGGATACAAATATAATCTTTTTTTCCAGCAGCCAGCATTTAAACAATTTTAATCTAACAATTAATATTCATTTTTTGTATAGTTAATGTTTAAAAATGTATGCAGCCTATTATAAAAAAATAATTATATTGAACTATAAAATAGGTAGCCTATATTTTAATTAAAAATAATAAAAATATGACAATATAATCGGCATCCTAAAACCATTTAATATTCAATGTCTTGTAGTCCAATACTATAATGTATATAGTTGTATGTATCCAAATATTATAAAAATATGAATAGAAATATAATAATTTAACCAGCAGCCAGCATTTAAACCATTTTAAACCAACAATTAATATTAATTTAGTATAGTTAATGTTTAAAAATATATGTAGCCTAGTTATAAAAATAATTATATTGAATTATAAAATAGGAAGCCTATATTTTAATTAAAAAGAATACAAATATTATCATTTATCTGGCATCCTAAAAACATCATTTAATATTCAATGTATTGTAGTCTAATGATAGTTATATACTATAATGTATATAGTTGTATGTATCCAAATATTCTAAAATGATATATTGAATTAAAAGTATTTATATAATTATGTAAAAAAAAAATCTAAAACTAAAAATAGGTATAATTTAATTCAAATGAATATAAATATAATTAATAATTAATTATAATAATTCATTAATTTAACCAGCAGCCTAAAAACCAACAAAAAATATAAAAATAAATTAAATGATTTATTAATGAATTATAATAATTAATTCATGCTGTACCAATAATTTATGTGTATGTATATGTAGCCTATTATATAAACCAAAATGTAATATTCATTTTAGTGCAGTGATAGTTACTGTTTTATTATGATACTATTGTTACTATTTTATATATTATATTATATTGATAATAGCCAACAAAATAATTTAATATAATTATAGCTATATTAATACATTATAGTATTTAGTATGATAGTTATTTGTATACTTGCATAATAACATTTAAAAAAAAAAACATTATACACCTGATGTGCTTAACTTGAGGTATTTAGATTCTTTCTTTGTGTTGCATTTGTTAAGATTAATCTGGTTTGCAATTTTTTGTTTTGTTTAGTTTGTTTGTGTGTGTGTGTGTGTGTGTGTGTGTGTGTGTGTGTGTGTGTGTGTGTGTGTGTGTGTGTGTGTGTGTGTGTGTGTGTGTGTGTGTGTGTGTGTGTGTGTGTGTGTGTGTGTGTGTGTGTGTTTCCCTTGACAAAACACCTATTTGGTCATTCACTGATGAATTATGTCAAATGATGATGCTTCATAATTTGCCATGCCTTCCGATGACGTTTCATCTTTCACTACTGATCACATGACGTTAGTATAAACATGCTGTTCAACACAAAGGCTTTTTTTCTTCTCAGGGATTTGCAGCTACGGTCAACGTCACTAATGAGCTTTAGAAGAAAAACGATTTTTTTTCAGCATTTTTTCACGCACAGTCTCACCATTCAATACCCTGCACTCAAAAGCTCCAGTGATAGACTCTTTGTTTTCAGCAGGCGTCTCATGAACAGGCTGACGGGAGATAACTATCGCCACCTGGGGTCCCCCACTTAAATGTGGCATCATGTAAAGTCAAACAAAAAAAACCCAAAGGTATATATAAAGTCTTAAACCAGGGCCGTCTGTGTGTCCCAACAGGAGTGTGGAATCAGGAGAAACCGAAGAGACTCTTTGCCAGGACTCGCTATCTTTCTCAGCAGAGAAGTCATGTGGTGGTACGTTAAGTTATTTAGGGGTCTCCTAAAATGTGGACCCTAATAAAACAAACACAACATTGTTCAAGTGGACTGATGCACATCTGTGCATTTTGCAAGAGCAACAGAGTAATATCCCTTCTTGGAAATCGAGTTGATCCTTTTTACATTAAAAACCTTGAGTTAATAGAAACGTATTAGCAGTTCTTTACTCTGTTGATTGGTTTCTCATGAAAGCATGTGTCCTCCAGAGACCTAAGCCCAGGCCGGAGGCGTTTTCTCCAGCCCAGACTCCAGCGCGACGCTGTGCCGGTCTGATGGAGAGCTGCTCCTCACTCACTCCCTGCTGCGACCCGTGTGCCTCCTGCCACTGCAGGCTCTTCAACACCATCTGCCACTGCTGGAGACTGGGACACCTCTGCCCCAAGAAGACCTGATGACCCTTGCACACACACACACACACACGCACGCAGACACACACACACGCACGCAGACACACACACACACACCCGCACACACACGCACGCACACACACACACACACACACACACACCCGCACACACTCACACACCCGCACACACACACACACACACGTAGACCTGATGACCCTAACACACACACACACACGTAGACCTGATGACCCTAACACACACACACACACACACACACACACACACACACACACGTAGACCTGATGACCCTAACACACACACACACACACACACACACACGTAGACCTGATGACCCTAACACACACACACACACACACACACACACGTAGACCTGATGACCCTAACACACACACACACACACACACACACACACACACACACACACACACACACACACGTAGACCTGATGACCCTAACACACACACACACACACACACACACACACGTAGACCTGATGACCCTAACACACACACACACACACACACACACACACACACAAACACACACGTAGACCTGATGACCCTAACACACACACACACACACACACACACATATAGATTAATGACCCTAAACACACAGACACACATATAGACTTAATGACCCTAAAACACACACACACACACACACACACGTAGACCTGATGACCCTAACACACACACACACACACACACACACACACACGTAGACCTGATGACCCTAACACACACACACACACACACACACATATATAGATTAATGACCCTAAACACACAGACACACATATAGACTTAATGACCCTAAAACACACACACACACACACACACACACACACGTAGACCTGATGACCCTAACACACACACACACACACACACACACACACACACGTAGACCTGATGACCCTAACACACACACACACACAGACACACATATAGACTTAATGACCCTAAAACACACACACACACACACCCGCACACACACACACACACACACCCGCACACACACACACACACACCCGCACACACACACACGTACACCTGATGACCCTAACACACACACACATATATAGATTAATGACCCTAAACACACAGACACACATATAGACTTAATTACCCTAAAACACACACACACACACACATATAGACTTAATGACCCTAAACACACACACACACACACACACACACACACACATATTGGTGGTTCTCAGTTGTTTATTTTAGCATTGCTCATCCAATACTTTTTATCAAACAAAAAGAAAGAAAAATGTCATTCAATTTGGGATTAGACATTTAGTTTCTAAATATTTCGGTAACACTTCAGAATACTGTTCCTTCATTAATGAATAACTACACAGGAACAAATGAGTAACACACTATTAACATTCTAGTAACTACTATTAACTAACAAGAAACTCTGATTAACAAATTAGTAAGTAACAGCGCTCAGTTGAATGTGGTAGTTCACTATTAGCTATTAGCTAAACTACCATTTTTTCATACCTCACTGAGAACTACTGTATACAGGTTCATAATTAACATAAATAATGCATAATTTATAATAAAAGGTAACCGTAACCCACTAGTAATGACTCAAGTGTTTAGTCATTACTAGTGTATTCCCATGATCTTCACTTTAGAATACTGATCCAAATTATTAGCAGTTCCTTTAGAGGGATTTAGTAACACTTGATGCATTACTAATGGGTTACCATAACCTTATATTATACATTATGCATTATTAATATTAATTATGAACCTGTATATAGTAGTTCTTAATTTTGACTCATCCCTTATTTTCTTTCAAACAAACAGAAATTGACGTTTACAAGAGAGGCACTTAAAAGTGACGTGAATGAGGACAATTTTTGGGAGGATTCAAAAGCAGTAATGTGGAGCACTTACATTATAGTCACCATGAAATCAAAATTGACAATTTTAGTATTTAATATATATATATATATATATATTTTGTGCCCATCTCAACATCTCATCTCTCCTCTGATGACATGTTTCCTGATGTGAGGGCGGGGCAACCTGTCACTCACATGAGATCAACCAATAGCAAACCACAACCATCCAATCAATTTCCATTGGACAAAATCAAGTCCCGCCCTACATTTTCTCTTGTTCCAGAAGCCATTTCACTCAGATATAGGTCACAATAGGAAGGAAAAGACAATTATAACTTCCGTGTCACGCTGACTTTAAAAGCACTTGCAATATTTCTCTGCTTAATCGTATTATTTGAACTGTAACGCTGTTTAAAGCGTCATTTTTAAGTAGTAAAAGTTGTATGTTCATTTTATTTAATGGACATGAGCTAACATGAGCTAACAATGATCAATAGCATTTTTATTAATGAATGTTAGCAAAGATGAATACATTTCTGTATTGCTCATTGTCAGTTAATGTTAATTAATGAATTCACTAATTGGACTTTATTGTAAAGTGTCACTATTTTGTATTTAGCATTTAGCAAATGTTTGTTTAGAACAGACCCCTAGATCCACCAAATGAGAACCACTGCTATATATCACACAAGCATCTGTGCACCGACGGGATTCACACCTGTGCTTCTACACCTTCTGATACTGCTATATAACATGCCATGGATCATGACATTTAATAACTAACTGTACAGTGAATATTTAACTACCATATGACTCGAGTTATTCGCTCTTTTTGCACCATGACACTATTGTGACTGCTTTGCCAACTGGAGATGTTTTTACAGTGAACTCTTGTAGGATTCATGCTGGCAAAGTTTCATTTTTGCTATTATTCTCAGTATTTTTCAACTCTTGTTAAGCAAGGGACATATCCAAGCTAAACTGTTTAACTTGTACAGAATCAGTGTAACAGTGCCTAAAAAGCTAAGTCAAGTCATTTTAGGTCCAGTAAATGTGAATCCAATGTTATCCTCATTCTGCGATCTTTTAATAATAAGTTTAAGATGTTCATCTACTGTGATGATTCCACTGTCTTATGGCATTTTTCCATGTTTCTGATTTCTGCACGGGGAAAAAAAAAACATGTTTAAGTGGATGTCAAGCAGACGCTTGAGAAAAGTTGCCAGATAAGTATCATCATATATTTCTATCCACTGTCAGGTCATATTGACTGAATATTATTGGGCGGTTAAAAACGTTCAGTGTGCTCTCTACAAAATTCTTTGTAATAAAAACATTTAGAACTGCAGTTTGCAAACTTTACTTTCCTCTATTTTGTTCTTCTTAAAAGCTCTAAAAAGGATCTGTGATTTGGTTTGGTGCCAAGAAGATCTCCCTCCCAAGTTTTTCAAGTTTGTCTTCAACGACAAAGGGCTGTGCTCTTCCTAGTGTGGATATGAACTCTTGCACATGAATGAAATGCTGCAAAATCCAGTCCTGCTTTATTGCTCATCAGATAAAGAAAGTGTATGAACCTCCTGAAAAGTCAAGCTTCTGATTCCAGCCAAAGTACGTGGTACTTTTATAAATCTGCAGCTGTTTTCAGCTAAGCCAGATGCATTTAAATCCTGCAGGTGTCTTATACATAATAGTGCTTTATGCTGTATTTTAATAGATGAGGCCTGTCATATTTTTTATAAAAGCATGGTGATTATAATCACTGACATTTGTGCATATTGCTAAAGTCAGTTAAAGGTACAGTATGTAATATTGACAGCTAGCGGTTGAAATGGGTACTGCTTCAAGTTTAAATTAAAAATATTGGAGAGAGACGTTTCCCCGCGTTTGAATATGCTCCCGTTCATGGAGATTTTTAGATGATGCCGAGGCTTTTTAGGTCGGGTAGAATCTGCGATCTCTGACCTATTTGTTTGCTGGCTTCCATCGCTGCAATACGCTGTGTTTTCCAACAACTGGCAACCCGGGTGTGTCGAAATACTATTGGGTAAATTGGCAGCGGACGGGATCACACAGACCAAAACAAAAGCACATTCCCACACGGAACGCACATTTCAAAGTGAAATAACTGGCTGTAGAAGTGTTTTTCAGAGAAACAAGTATGTGAACTCAACATGTTTCCTAAATCTCTGCCAAAATACTATGGTATTTTTATTCTTTAGTACAGTCCAAAAGTTACATGCTCACCTTTAAATGGAGATTTTACTTAATTAAAGGGGCTATATGTAGAATTCAGAAATCCCACCAGTGGCCGTTAAGTGAACTGCAGCCAGCAACATTTTGAAGCCCAAAGTGGACGGATAACTCCCAGATAAACGAAAATGGGCAAAAAGGAGGGATTATCTGAGGTGACGTGACGGCTAACAGACAGCAGACAAACGGCTAGTAGTGACAGCAGCGGCAAGCCACCTGTCACTCAAGTGGCCAAGCCCTTAATTATGCAGAACTTTAAGGCTTAATATAATTTAAACAGATGAGTTATAAAAAAAATTCACCCCCCTCACAGTTTTCATGAAGGGCAAAATTTGCTATATTGACCAAAACCACTTTTTGCATCAGGCTGTAAACACATTTTTTCTGCTGTAAAGTTGGGCATTTTAACATGGAGGTCTATGGCAATGACTCTCTTTTGGAGCCTGTCTCTAGCGGCCAGTCGATCAATTGCAGTTTAAGTCACTTCCGTGTTAGTTTCAAGAGAGAGACAGGAAGGTTGTTGCTTGGTTTGCAAATGTGAACTCCAGAACACTCTGTGACGCGATATTCCCGGCAAAAACGTCCCGACCCCTTCACAAACAAATCAGTCTACAGGCTTTCATAGACAGCCGGGGAAGGTCTCGTTTTTTAAGTTTCATTACAAGCTGATCACACATTGGCAATAAAAGCGATTAATACATGGAAATTCTTACATATAGCCCCTTTGATTGTTGATAATAAAGCATGAAATGCAACAAGTGGTTAAAGCTGCAGTCCGCAGTTTTTCCTCTTTGACGCCATCTCTGTTCGAAATCTGCAATTGCGGTCATTCACGGAATTATCAACTTTACGTGAGTTGTACCTCGGCACGGCACAGCACGGATGAATCCAATGTTTTGAGGAGAGTGTGCAGCTGTCAGTCACCGCGCGGTGTGGCATTTGCAATCACAGATTCTACTTTTTGGAAGTATGACCAACATAAGAATATTCGCCCTAAAATGTCATCTGAACAAGTAAGTAACATCCACTTTTGTTATTTTGACCAACTAAGGAAAAAAAAACATTGCAGTAAATCGCGCTGATTAAATCTAACGATCGCTTATCATATCACGTCAAACCGTGCAAAATATACTTTGTTCTCAAATTGTTAATGCTAACAACATCAGCATTGCGTGACTACATTTAAAGCCCTTCAGATATTTATCCTTGTTTTCGCATGGGCCGGTTGCGATTTCTTTTTTAACACTCCATAAATTAGAAAACAGCCAGAAAAAAAAATCATTTTCACCATGTTTTTAGAATATGGATAGGAATAAAACGGTAAAGTTTGTATGTAAATGCTGCCAAAGGGGAGATTTCTGAATGTAATGAAATAAACACTTACATGTGTATTTTATATTTCCTTTTCACTAGAAAGAAGGCAAGTTATGGAGGCAAAAATCTTAAAATGATATTTTCTGTAATGGTTTATAATTGAAGCTATGAATCAGGTCGGACATAAGTTCAGTCCCATGCACTATTTACTCTGAGCTTTTCCACCCCAAAACCGACTTTTTATTTTAAACTTAAACATGTAAGTTTTTCTGCCAATATATATATAAAAAAAATAAAACAAAAAAAAATACAAGCCAAATATGGATATTGATTTATACTTTTATTAAGTATATTTTAATCAAAAGATTATGTACAAATATAATCCAAACATAAGCCAAGCTATACTGTCAAATTTTTAGTTAAAAAGAAGTAAAGCAATAGCAGACTAGAATAAACTTTTTTGGGGGTAAGGACTTGGATAGAGGCTCATTAGAAAAAATACATCAACGAAGAAAGTGAGGAAGGTGCTGTAAAATGCTTATTCACATTGCCGTCTACCAGTTTTCCTTGAACTTTTTATGAACTTCACTAAATAACTGTTCGATTTCACTGTGATTATTTACAGCCACTCATCCCTGACCCTTCTACAAACTGCGTAACATTTAAAAATAAACTTTCACATGAATCATCTGTAGGACGACAGAACTAGACCACAGATTCATCATCTCGAGTATCATAAATATCCGCTATGGAGATCTTCTGCAAAACGCACATTAGAGTTTTTATTTGACATGTCTCTGATCTTACATGATCCTCACAAGATCATCCGTTATGAACATTTCTGGCATAAGTCATGCCTGGAAAACCTGTCATGCATTCCGCTTCAAGGAGTAACAGGAGGACACAAGCCAAACGTCTCCCACATGCAGATGCGGATAGGACTTATGAGTTTGGATACCATCACTTTAATACAGAAAGATCTATGAAGCTTTTATTGGCAGGGAATCAAGTACAATAGAGAGCTAATGCACATTTAAGTTTACAGGAGGATATGAATTGTTATAAGTTATCATAGGCAGATCATTTAGATCAACTTTTTTAAATGAACATCCATAACTCAATTGTGTCCAGATGGTTTCTTTTGATGTAGTTGCTGATTAATTTATAAGAAGCTACAGTAATAAGCTACTGAATAACTACATTTACTTGTGTAATTAGTTTGTGGAGCTGCTCTTAATTAAACAAAGGCTATTATTGTTATTACTAGTAATTCAGATGATTATCTACCAACATGTAATGTGTTAAAAATTATTAAATAACAACAATAAAAACAAATAATTATACTGATGTACGGTACCTGTTATAACTTATATAACAAATATATTTAGAAAACACTGTATATTAATTAGTGACCGATAGTGGTGTGATTTATTTTTACCATTTATTTTCTAATATAAAAAAGATGCTATGTTCTTGGCAACATGAAATACTGCATACACTCTTAAAAACAAATGTTCTTTATTGGCATTGATGATTGAAGAACCTTTAAGATCTATGGAACCTTTCCAGTTCACAAAAGGTGATTTATAATGGAAAAGGTTATTAAAAAAAAAAGTTATTTTAAGAACTGTTCACTGAAAGTTTCTTTAGGGAACCAAATTTGGTTCTTCTATGGCATTACTGGGAAAACCCCAATTGGAACCTTTATTTTTAAGAGTGAATGGCAAATTCATTTAGTCTATAATTAGTCATAGCAGGTTATAATAATAATAATAATAGTAGTATTAGTAATAAAGATACTAACAGTAATTATTTTGCACATGTCCCTGTTTATATTTCAAACAGGTCAGCTGACACGTCCTGTCCTGTGACTGGAACCACAGCATCTCTGCAGTAAACCGGACACCTTTTACACTGAAATTAAAGCACAAGAATTATGAATATTGTGAATAATTTAGCAAAATTCAGTGATTTAATACAATAAATAAAATCTGTATGTGATGACACAATATTGCCATCAGTTCAAGTGGCATCAGAATGGATCGCAATATGTACTTGAACCACACAAATGTCTTCGCACAAGTTCAGTTTGCTTTGAGTCTGTGGTGCATTTGCATAGGAGGAGAAGGAGAAGATGATGGATGAGGAGGAGGAGGAGAAGAAGATGGATGAGGAGGAGGAGGAGAAGAAGGAGAAAAGGATGAGAAGAAAGAGGAGGAGGAGAAAGAGGAGGAGGAGAAAAATATGATGGAGGACGAGATAAAGGTGAAGGAGAAGGAGGAGGAAGAAAACATGATGGAGGAGGAGGAGAAGGGGAAGAAGAAGAAGGAGGAGAAGGGGAAGAAAATATGATGGAGGAGGAGATAGAGGTGGAGGAGAAGGAGGAGAAGGAGGAGGAGGAGGAGAAAAATATGATGGAGGAGGAGAACAAGGGGAAAAAGAAGAAGAAGAATGAGAAGGGTAAGAAGAAGAAGAAGAAGAAGAAGAAGAGGAAGGAGGAGGAGGAGAAGGGGAAGAAGAAGGAGGAGGAGGGGAAGGGGAAGAAGAAGAAGAAGAAGAAGGAGGAGGAGGAGGAGGAGAAGAAGAAGAAGGAGGAGGAGGAGAAGGGGAAGAAGGAGGAGGAGAAGGGGAAGGAGGAGGAGAATGGGAAGAAGGAGGAGGAGAAGGGGAAGGAGGAGGAGAATGGGAAGAAGAAGGAAGAGGAGAAAGGGAAGGAGGAGGAGAAGGGGAAGGAGGAGGAGAATGGGAAGAATAAGGAAGAGGAGAAGGGGAAGAAGAAGGAGGAGAAGAAGGGGAAGGAGGGGGAGAATGGGAAGAAGAAGGAAGAGGAAAAGGGGAAGAAGAAGGAGGAGAAGAAGGGGAAGGAGGGGGAGAATGGGAAGAAGAAGGAAGAGGAGAAGGGGAAGGAGGGGGAGGAGGAGAAGGGGAAGAAGGAGGAGGAGGAGAGGGGGAAGAAGGAGGAAGAGGAGAATGGGAAGAAGAAGGAAGAGGAGAAGGGGAAGGAGGAGGAGGAGGAGAAGGGCAAGGAGGAGGAGGAGAAGGGGAAGGAGGAGGAGGAGGAGGGGAAGAAGAAGAAGAAGAAGAAGAAGAAGAAGAAGAAGAAGAAGAAGAAGGAGATGGAGGAGGAGGAGGAGGAGAAGGGGAAGAAGAAGAAAGAGGAGGAGGAGAAGGAGAAGGGGAAGGGGAAGGAGGAAGAGGAGAAGAAGAAAGAAGAGGAGGAGAAGGGGAAGAAGAAGCAGAAGAAGAAGCAGCACCATTATAGAATATTAAAAGACTGGGTTAAAAAAAACAGCGGGAATGAAAGGTGAACTTAGACAAAAAAAAGTTTACTAAAGTAATGTCTATTTTCAAGCACAGATACAGTATGTTCGAAAAACGAATTATTTTTCAGTTCACTCTCAGTTCAGCCCCTTTCAGCCGAGTTTGTGTCTTTTTTAGAGGACTTACAGCAAGAGTGAAGAGTAACTATTGAGTGCGGGAAGAAAATTACATAATTGTGTAAAAAAAAATCATTTTGGCACACTCTGTTTATAAGACTTGGTGTTTCGTTGTGATTGTGTGGCTTTTTATTTCTTTAAGCTTTGATATCCAGTCACCAGCCATATTACATGCTCGCCATTTCCCAGATCAAACTACAACCCCGATATTTGTAAGATTAATCCCAACGTGATTTTTTGGACCAAATTGTGAAGCCCTAGTGATTATCTATTTAAAACACGGTTACAGATTTGGTATGCATTCATCATGAGAAGGGAGAATACTGACCGCACTGCACTGGCAGCTCCAGTGGAACATAGTTTCTATGGCATAGATGGATATAGGCAGAGGCCAGTGTGCAAAAGTCTGGTCTGGAAACATCTGCACGCTCGTCACGTGTGCACTCCAATCCTTCACACTTCAGCATGAACTGCACAGGGTCCACCTAAAAAAAACATCCGAAAAAAAAACAGTGTGACAGAGAGAATTCTTCATCTGAAGTTCATTGTGTTGTTTACTATTGCGTTCTTTTATTCTCTTTTTCGTTTCCCCACTTCCCCCAAGGAGTGGATGTCTTTTGATCAATCTAATCAAAGGAATCTTTAAAAACACTGGCTTGTAATAGTTAGCACATGTCGTTGAGTGAGAGAAAACAGAGGACAGTAGTTACCACTCTGAAACAGGGGCTCAGAGGAGAATTTGTGGAGGAGAACAGAAATGTGCACGACAGGGAGTCGGCAGTGCCATTCTGGCAGATTTCAGCTTTCCTGCAGGAACACTCCGAATCAACCTAAAGCAAACGGCATCAAAATATCACATTAGAGCCTCTCACTCTGTAGTTTTTTTTCCTGTATGGAACCACAACAGTTCATAAATGTGAAAATATGCAATTGGAAGGTCTATATATGCCTGAATGGATAAGAGCAGTGTGAACATTCTACAAAGTTTCACATTTTTGTTCAGTGGAAGAAATTCATGTTCGGATTGAAATGACAGAGAGTACATGACTTGAAATGATTTTTTTTTTCCTTTAAGCATTATTTAACAGGCTATGTACATATGAAGCAAAATAATAGAAATAGTGCTGTGGTCTGTTTTAGTTGTGCTGTGATCGCATATGCTAAACAGGTGTACATTCCTCACAGGTTTCTTTCGCTACCTGCCAGCTGTGAGTGAACTGAAGCACGCTGTGTGTGTGAGAGCCATCTGGCAGAAGAAGCTCGTTAGCTGCCTCGTTATCATTGGTTCCTAAAAGACCAGTGGACACACCTGAAAAACAATTTATTAAAAGATTATGTTAGACCATGATGCATCTTAGAACGATTCTGTTCCTCGAAGAATCCTAAAAATTCAGCTTTGCCATCAAAGGAATACAATTACATTTAAAAATATATTAAAGTTGTTGATTGAAAAAATTAGACACTTCTTTAAAATATATATATATATATATATACACTACCATCCAAATGTTTGGGGTAGTGTGTGTGAGTGTGTGTGTGTGTATTTGTTATGTCAATTCATTTTATTTATTTATTTGTCAAAGGATAGCATATACCATCAGAGCTCGAAGCACATGGTAGAACTGTCTTGAGTTTTGGCAAAATTGTATTGCTAAAAATTAATTCTGGAAGTAATTTAGTAAACAAAGCTACTGATCTTACCGTGAAGCCATCCCTCTAGGATCGCACTGCAAACCTCTAGATGATGATCACATGAGACCCGAAGTCCTCTCTCATTGGACACCTCAATGATGTTCCCCTCCTTTCTGATAACCACTTCGTGGTTAGTGTATGGTATGTGCGTTACTTGGCAATTAATTTCCACCTAAAATCGACAATTGTTGTATAAATCTGTTTAATTAGATCATATTTCATTTTTCAGATAAAGTTTCTAAATTAGTCATGACACTAATATTGGGCATCAAAATAATAAGATGTACCTCTCCATTTGGGTGAATTGCAATCATCGTGTTTTGCATTTGCACCTCAAGCGAGCGACGTTTGAACCTGACAGATTTGAGTGCAATGCTGAAGGTTTGCTTGATGACATCAGCTGCTAGGATGAAGTCACAGGATGCTGGGAGTTTGAACAAATGTCCATCAAATGACACCAAATAGACATCTGCCACTAGAAATGCCTGATCTGGACAGAGAAAATGAAGTACAAAGGCTGTGAGGAAATGAAGAATAATGACCTTTAAAAATAAGTCATTTGTTTCTGTCATCATTTACTCTATTACCTCTATGGGCCCTATCTTGCACCCAGCGCAATTGACTTTGTACACCGACACATGTATCATTCCTATTTTGCACCTGACGCACAGCGGACTTTCCCTTCCACAGACGCACGTCGGTAAATTAGGGAATGAACTTGCGCTCCCGGGGGCGGTTCAGCGAAAAGAGGAGGCGTGTTCCGGCGCAAACGTTCCCTAATGCTATTTTGCAGTTTCAGAAAACAATTCCGCCACAGACCAGGAAAAACCTAGTCTAAAGTCAGTGGCGCGTTATTCAGATGCTATAAGGGCGCATGCTTGGCCATAATGTAGCGTGTGCACAACGCGCATACACTTTGCTTCTCTCAAACACAGACGCACCAGTTCCCATTTTTGCAAACCATACATAATTACAAGGAAAAATATTACCACACGAGGGAAATCATTGTGGTGTCCATGAAGATGTGAAAAAATAGGCATAAATCTAGCTTACACATTTACCCAAATTATTATACGCCTGTTTAACCGAAGCTAATTTGGGTGGGTTTCTCCCATCCCCATACAATGTCACTTCTCTGTCTTTTACGGCCCTGACGAGAACGTCGGTCTCCTCGCCTGTGAACCGCTCCTGATGTGTCCATGGCAAAAAGAGAAAATGTGAGAAGACGCTCTGATTGGTTTATTGCACGTTACGCCCAAACCACACCAAATGAGTAATGTAGCTACTTCAGACCAACCCATTTTAGATTTGCGCCGAGATCGGCCCACAAAATAACTTGCGTTTTGCGTTTGATACTTGCATTTCAGATCGTTAAAATAGGGCCCTATGACTTTGGGTTGCACTTTATTTCGACAGTCCACTTTTGACATTCTACTAACAATACAGTATGTAACTTTGCAACTACGGTCAACTAACCCTCATTAATGTGCAACTACATGTCAACCAAAACACGTTAGAATATTAGTAGACTGTTAGGTTAGGGTTAGTAGAATAACTTGACGTATAGTTTAGGGCTGTAGTCAAGACCACCTTTGTCGAGTCCAAGACCAGGACTAGTCGAGTCCAAGTCAAGACCAAGTCCAAAGAGGTTAGAGTCCAAGACAAGACCGAGTCCAAAAAGGTTCGAGTCCGAGTCAAGACCGAGTCCAGGACAGGAAAAAAGTCTTGACATTAAATGACAATCATTTTGGGTTATTATTTGTTGATCTAAAAGCAAAAACAGTGTCACAACACCCAGGATTTTTAAGTATAGACATTCCCCTTGATATCATATAATCTTCTAATCTAAAGAAAAAAGAATGATGACATATGATACCTCATAATAGCAGTGTTAGAACTGATACAAACACCAACCCACTACTATTACCACTGCTAGGTACTAGTAGCCTACTGAGCATTTTAATAACTAAATGACAATATAGCTTCAGTCCAGTAAAATATATCTGTGGTAATTTCTTCACGTTAAACCGAACTTTTATTTTGACGGGTTTCTGAGTGTATCTGACGATGAAATGCTGAAGATAAACGTGTACTTGAGTATGTGTAGTACACGAACCTGCGGCACTCACTTACAGAGACTCGCTGAACAATCAGATTTGATAGCAGTCTTTAATATTCACAGTGACTAGTCCATATAGCAATTTCATATTATGATTGACAGTGAATAGACAGATCTGTTATTTCAGCGATGCGCCGGTATTGCAGTAGCAAATAGTAGAAAAGAAATCACACACGCGCAGGTCGTACTTGTCAATGACGGGCACTACAATCTGCGGTAATCTGCGGAGGTTTCTGTGGAAGTCTGCGGGTGCATACTACAATAATACGTTACTGGGAACATAAAAAAGACACCTGGACTCGGTCGAGACCAAAAGCCATATTTGGCAAGACCAGTGGCCGAGACCGAGACAAGTCCGAGTCCGAATACCAGCGAGTCCGAGACGAGTCCGAGACAAGTCCGAGAACAGAGAAAAACGGTCATGAGTCCGGACTCGAGTCCAAGACCGGACTCGAGTACTACAGCCCTGGTATAGTTGCAAAGTTACTTATAGTTATAGTTAGTAGATTGTCTTTTGGGGAATCATCACAATAAAGCCTTAGCAGATTTTAAGCAGAAAGTCTACTGATACTCGAATGACTACATGGTAGGTGACGTAGTTGCAAAGTTATTTATAGTTATAGTTGATAAAGTGGAGTATCGAAATAAAGTGTTACAGACTTTATTTATTCTGCTTGATCACAGAAGAACATTTTTGAAGAACTTTGGGGTCCAGACAACATCGGTCTCCACTGACTTTCCTTGTATGGAATTTTTCACAACATTTTTTTCTATTTTTGTCATATAGGTTTAGAATAACATGGTGGTAAGTAAAATATGTTTTTTGTTTGTGTTAACTATCTCTTTAAGTAGTAATTTCATTCTCATGAATAGTAAATGCATCTGACGTATGGAAATCCCAAGGGTCTAGATTAACTCAATTAGTGGTCTAGAGATGGAAAACATGTGTTCAACATGAAGGCCCATGAGAGCTGAACACTCATAATAACTCACAGTTGACGGGACTGTCCATTATCTTCCTCTTCAGCCGGTAGAGCTCTGCTGTAGGACTCAGAGAGTTCAAGGCCAGTAGAGGCTTCAGGAAAAACTCCTCCAGAAGAACTTCAGTCACACCTGCTTCCTTCACCTTCAGCCACGGGCCCACAGGAAGTGGCAGCCTAAAGATCAGCTCACCCTCACTGGAATAACAGAGTTGAGGAGAAAAAGTTTGGAATTATATACTGTACATTTCTGTATGAATCACTGCTACTGTAAGTCCAAATCAAAATGTATATAATTAACGATAACGCTGTCATGTCACCTATTTTAAAAGAGTAAAATGCATTAAACATTGGTGAGACCTAATGGACTGGTGGTACAATTTTTGTTAAGCGTGCCAGAGTTTCTAGGTTCTAATTCGCCCTCAATTTTTTTTCTTTTATTATTAAAACCAAAGATGTTCATCAGTGATTGTATATCAAGAGCAGAGACACTTTGTTTGGATTTGGTTTTGTGATTTCGCCGGAACAAATAGAAAGTCTCTGCAACAGCCTCAAGCGATAGATTGAAGCGCTCTTTTGTGTGAAGACTGTGCATGAGCGCCAAGAGAACACTTGCCAAATGCCAATGATAACAGCGGCAACAAACATTCAGCATGATTTCAAAAACAACACATTCCAGAGCCAGATCTCCTCTTATTTAGCTTTCAATCACAAAAATACAAATAACTGACAAACAACTTAAATCACCAAGTGACAATAAATACAGCAACAGTATAAACAGACGCAGCAAACAGTGAAACAAAAAAGTATCTTTTATCTGCTTAAACTATTCATGCCATGTCACATTGCTGGTATATGGAGTACCATATTATCGAACCTTGATGGTCCTCGAGGAACATTTGCTGCTAGTGTGGAGTGGGTGCTGGTGATCTGTGGATCCCCATTAAACGTCTGCTCTGCTGAGGAAGACCTCACCAGCCCCAGACCCCAGCCAGCCGCATCCCAGACCCTACACTGAGAGTAAGCCAGAGCTCACCGCAGACACGGAGCCCGAGTCTGCTGCGATGCCAGCACCAGAGTCAACACCTGAGCCGATCATAGTCCCGGAGCCCGAGCCCCACAGGGAGTCTGACTAGGTGCGTGAGCTGGCAACATCGTCCTTTGCCAGTGAGTGCGCTTGTGGAATTCGAGGGCATGGAGTGCAGCCATGCCCACACTCCCATCGCTGAGGGTGAGCTACAGCTGGCCTCTGCATTATACATTGGAAGAGGAAATTCCCTTTAATCCCCCGTTGTCACTGGTCCCGCCCAGCTCCAAGTCTCCCGTGTCTCCAAAGCATCCCCCTCCTCTGCTTATAACAGCCAGTTCCTCAGCCCCATGCACTCTGCTACGTGGATCTGCCTTCCAGCTCCGCCTTGGCAAGAGGATCCCCTGGCTCCGCATCCAGCCTCCGAGCCAGTCACTCAACCTTGGAATGACGACTAATCGGCTCCACCTCGGCTCCTCCTTCCCTTGGCTCGCCTGGGACCATTGTCCTTACGTCTCCAATTGGCTCCTTAATCCCTCCGGCTCCGCCTTGGTCCTCAGTCCTACCAGCTCCACCTCAGTCTCCAGATCCATTGTGTCACTTGGGCTGATTGACTCTTCGGCTCCGCCTGGGTCTCCACCTCCATCGGCATCAATCTCAGTCTGTCATCCACCTGGATCTCTGCCAAGTCTGCATCATGGCTTCTCCCTCCCTCGACTCCACAGTGGGCCTTTGTCCTGGCTGTGGTCTGGGTCCCCACCAGGCTTCTCATGCTCTTGTCTCCTCCCTCCAATTGATCCCCATCTTGGTTTCTCCCGCCATCATCTCCTGTTGTTTACTGCCATTCGCCAGCTCCTCGTCCTCCTCATAAGCCGCCTTCCTCCCTCCTCAGTTGGACTTGTTACGCCGCGAGGATGCACCTTCTGGAAGGGGAAGCTACTGTAATGGTCTCGTTCTGTTTTGGTTTCATTTTCCTTCTGTTCCCTGTTCTGATTTGCCTGAGTTCTGTTTGCTAGTTAGTTTCTATGGTTTCTGATTGGATTACATTCACCGGTTGATCGTTTAGTCACCTTGTTATCCCTGTGTATTTAAACTCTGAGTTTCCTCTGTTAATTATTCCGTGAAGTCTTTAGTTAACGTGGTTGTGTGTATTTCTCCTGGTTATCTCCCGAGTGTTACCTTGTTGGATTTATTAAAGACTGTTTTTGTTCTCTACTGCTTTCGTTGTGCGCTTTATCACAGCCGACATTACAGACATCACAGACATCTGTGAGCTTGGTTTTCTTGTAGGTGAGCTTAAAGAGTGGTTTGTTTTTGGCTTACACATTGGATTAATTGGCATCATATCAATAATAAACATACAACAAACAAGTTTTATCACAAACTAAATTGCCCCAAATTTATAAATACATATTTATGTATTGAATATTATTATGTTTAAATTGGAGTTTAAAAATTTATTTTGGAATACAAAACTTCTAATTGTTACTATTGTGGTGTTTGTGTGCTGGGAGCCTCATAGCAGCATGATTTATGTGAATAACTGGGTTATTGATATTAATCAGATTATGATATTAATCAGATTCTGGTGTTGGGATAAGCCAAAAAAAATCTTTTTTAAGGAATGTTGGTAACCAGAGTGACTTCCACCATTGACTTCCATAATATGGAGGGGGGGTAAAAACAGATTTGTCTAAATATATGTTCCACTGAAGAACGAAAGTCAAACAGGTTAGAAAATACTTGGTGGTGGTGAGTAAATGACAGAATTGTCATTTTATGGTGAACTATCCCTTTAAGCTAAGACTACTACTTTTAATAGTGATAATGGCACCAACTTTTTTTGTGATGAAGGGATGATATCTGGCCCATTCATATTTACAAAATTGTTTGGTTTCACTTTATTTTGATGGTCCCTTTAACACATTCTGTTGACTATAAGTAAAGTTGCACCTACATGTCTACTAACTCTCATTAGAGTGTTAGACTATTAGTAGACTGGTAGGGTTAGGGTTAGAATAAGTTGACATGTAGTTGCAAAGTTACTTATAGTCAGTAGACTGTATGTTGGAGGATCATCACAATAAAGAGTTATCAGATATTAAGCAGACAGTCTATTTATACTCTAATGAGTTACTTATAGTCAACAGAATGTTCAAAAGGGACCATCAAAATAAAGTGTTACCAATTGTTTTGGCTGATGTGTATTGTTGGGATGCTTCTTGAACGTTCTGTTCTAGATCTCACCACAGCATTTAAATCAAATTGAGCTCAGAGCATTGACCACTTGGCCATTTTAATTTACGCAATTTGAGAATTCTGTTGTTGATTTACTTCTGTGTTTTGGATTGTGGTCATTCTGCATGAGTTTTAGATCATTTCTTGACAATCCACTGTACAACTTAAAATTCATTAGTCCCTCAATGATTAAGGCAGTCCAGACCCTGAGGAATCAGCGAAGCTCCATATCCCTCTGCAGACATATGCCTCACAGTTGGGGATGAGGTTTTGTTGTTGGTATGTTCTGTTTTTAACAAAACGTCCCGCTGTGTATAATTAGCAAACAGATAAACTTTGTCCCACTTGCCCCCAGACCATTGCTCCAGTAGTGCTCGCAGCATCCAGGTGGTCTTTAACAAACTTGAAATATGAAAAGTGAGTTCTTTTGGATTGCTGTTATCACGTGATCAAATTATATTGTTATTGTATTTATTGTAATTATATTATATTGTATTGACTGTGCACTGTAGTGTATTTCAAAGTGTATTTAAAACTGTACTTGCAGATAATATAATGTTAATGAAATAAAAGGCCACTTAAGTGTACACTTTCATGAAAAGGTGCACTTTGTATTAATGTCAAATATTACTTTGAAGTACATTTTAAATCATTGTTTTAATCTTTTGATGTGCTTTAAAGTACACTATTTTTGATGTGTTGATTATAATTTTAACTGTAGTGTGTCATTCGATATTACATTTAAAGTTAATATTTTAAATAAATTGCAATATATATATGTATAATATACTGTATGTAAAATACAATATATATTTAAATACATGACATTCAAGTTTCAATAGCAATGGCATTAAAGTATATTTTTAATTGGCCATAAAAGCTTGTTAGTACAACTTTACCATATTTCAAATATAATATAATTATAAACATAAAGATGTACTTAATTTCCACTTAAATGGGTAAAAAAAAAACACTCTTCAGTTCAGCTAATTGCATTTAATATAAATTTCAACTACAGTACATTTCTCGGGCACTGTTACTTTATGCCCTCTAAAAATGTTAAAATAGACTTTAAATCAGAAAATAAAGACATGCTCATGCAGTCATCGCATTTATAAATTGCACTTTTAATGTTTGTTTGTTTTTTTACAAAAAAATAAATAATAATAATAATCACGTCATTGACCCAAAGTATTTTTTGTTATTTAAAGCTATTTAAATTTAAAGTATTATTATAACTCATTTTTGTAGTTATGCCAAGCTGTAAAATTGTTTATCAAGTAGAAATTGTGAGTAATTATTTGTGAGTAATTAATTTATACATATACTGTATGTCAGTAAGCACTCCCTAAAATGCCTCAATTGTAGTCTCGTTTTCTCAAACAGAAGGCTGTGTGTATCTAAGTAATGCTGCATATCTGCATGTTATCAAGCTCTATCGAAGGAAGTCTCAATTTAAAGGATCCTTTCAAGGCAGACTTCATTTCATGTCCTTCATTCAGTCTGTTTTGAAGGATGCATCCAGTGTATCCTTTGAGCCCTTCAATCACCCACAATCTTTTGCACACATTCCAAAAAAAAAGAAAAAGAAAAAAGAATGAGCAGAAAATGAATAGGTGCTGAGCTTGTCCAATTTCACTATGTAATGCAAAAAGAAAAAAAGAAAAAAGTGTGACATTTCTGAAACTCGAAGTAGTTGACCAATCACAACAAACTGGTTCAACCGACCAATCAGAGAACAATGCGCTTTTCGAAAGGAGTGGCTTCATTGAAACTGGAACTAAACAGAGCGTTACTGACAGACTGGGAAGAGAGGAGCTGCGATAATGTGATAAATGTTTTTACATTCAATCATGACAAACTATTCTAGACTAGTAGACCTGTGCCCGGTTGCATAAAGCACCTTAAGTTTTTCCCTTAAGTATGATACTTAAGGGGCGATTTACCCTTGCCTAAGAGAATAACTTAAGGGTGTTGCATATAATCTCTTAAACGGTTCTCTTAGGTAAGGGAAACATTTAAAGTCCCTGTAAAGGCAATTTAAAAAAAAAATTCTAAACACATTATAAATGTTAGAAATGTATTGATTAAACATATTACAAAGACTGTGAACTGTAAAGTACTGAATTGTGGAGTTAGACCGTTAAACAGTTTTTCACCATTGCTATTTTCCGGATTTTCTGGGCGGGGCTAAAACGGGGCTCGATGACCAGGGTTCTAAATTGACACCCGCCAACCCGCCAAATGCGGGTTAAAATTCATTTTGGCGGGTGTTAATAAAAACTTACTAGCCAGTTTGGCCGGTGATCCATAAGGTTCTGTTCTCGGTCATTTATCCCTCTGGCAGTACTTCCTACATTTCCCATGAACACTGTGCCGTAATACTACGTGATGACGTTTCATACGCCCATTGGCTGCGCGCAGTTTGCAGTGAAACATGCGCGTGAAATGATCATGGAAACGAACGGAGCGTCCGTCCACCAGAAAACACAGGGAAGATGAAGAACGAGCCAGAGCAGGGAGCATAGACTGAAAGAGGAGGGAGCTAGTAAAGTAGCTAAAGTAAAAAGTTAAGATTAAACTAAATGCGGCGGTGGTTGGGACAGACTTCTGGGTTTAAATTTAAATGTCGTTTAAAGAGATACGTTATTTTTTTAAGTTTAAGGTTTTTGTCATTATTTCTGAACAAGCTTATACATTAGGCAATATACACAACTAGCCTATATATCTTAAGGTTTTCTTTTAGTTGAAAACCTTAAACAATGTGTGTAAAAAAATATATATAAACAACAAAAGCATTTAAGCTCAAGCAGCGCAAACGGGGAAAAAACGCACAAAAAAACCACAGAACGTACATACTCGAGTCAGCATATGATTATCGTGTTTATATTGTTTCACGTTCATGTTGACAAAAACAATAATATCCACATGCTCGAGTGAGAAAACGCGCTGCGCTGACACAGACGTTGCAGAGACGCGTGTGTGTGTGCAAAGTGAAGTAACAGCACTTTGCGTTTTCTGTATCCCTCAACGAAACTTAAAGGAAGTGGTTAATGCAGTGATGGACACAGTCTTCCTCAGTCGACTGCTGTTTCTTTGGATTTCATGTTATTTCTCATTGTGGTGGTGTCGGTGATATTATGATAACTCAGTTTAATTAATAAATAATTGATTAAATGTTATTCCATTTTGTAATAGGCTATCATTTGATAATCAAGTAATTCCAAACTTCGCGAGGCAGACAATGACATTATGTGATCAAATACAATCCACTTGTTAAATGCTCCACCCAGTGCATTTAATTATAACTGCGGAAAAAAAATAAAGAAAAAAAGTAAAATTCTAATAGTATTTTTTTTTTTTTTTAATAATTACAGATCGAAAATTCGAATATTCGTGCACATCCCTAATAGATAGATAGATAGATAGATAGATAGATCCCAAACTTGAAATTAAATGTTTGCACTTTCTGTGTTGTATTGTACTTTTATATGTGTTTTTCATGCCAACAATGTTAATAAAATGCTCAAATGCATTCAGTAGCACTCATAATTTCTCTTATTTTCACCGGAAAAAATTTGGCTAGTGGAAATTCTAAATGGCTGGTAACTTTAGAAAGTTACCAGCCACATTGGCTGGTGATCAAAAAAGTTAATTTAGAACCCTGTCGATGACGCACTGGAGCCCTTGAGCTCCTGGACACGCCCCTACTTGATGACGCACTGAGGCCAATGAGGCTGGCCGCTCCTTACAATATTATAGAGCACATTCACATCAGTTTGCCGCTCATTCGCGAGTTACTGTCAGTACTATTATTAGTAACGGCCTACAGATTGCTAGCTAGCTATGCCTTTGTCACGGAAATGCGTAACGTTACTACCTGGATCCGATCACCGGATCAGTACAAAACAGATCGGTGTCCTTATTTACATTTCCGAAAAACGATTACATCAAGAAGAAGTGGATTAATTTTGTGAAGAGCCACCTTGATGGAGAGCTGAGGATCACCGCCAAAACCACCTCTGTAAGTGATCATTTTACACGGGACAGTTTTATAAACTTTCATCAGAGACAACTGGGATTCACTGATAATCCGCTGTTACTGGTGAATGGGGCCGAACCGACTATCTCCCGCCTCGGCCTTCATCCTCCAGTCGCGCCGACAACTGGTGCCATCATCGGCAGTGCGTGCCCACCGTGCGAGCATCCATTTCGGCTGTAGAGTTGAGTGTGGCGACGGCAGCTTTCCCGCGAGTGGGCGTGGCTTCAGCACAGCCAGCGGACACGCCCCCAGCATTTGAGAGCAGAGAATACTGCTCATTTTTTCAAGATTTTGATAGTTATTTTATGTACTTGCTGGCTTTTTTTATCATTCAAATTTGGCTGGGTGAATAATAACACATTTTTCTGTGGTGTGACAAACTCAGAACACATACTTAATTTTGACTTTACAGGGACTTTAAGTGTTTCACGACAGCGATCCTGGATTCACGTTATAAAAGTCTGTTGTTGCCATAGATACGCAAAACACTAACATGTCGGAATATCACGTGTCAGTCCAGTGACGCTATCACGTAACACCGCGTTAGCTCCGAAAGTGGCTGCAGTTTGTGTTGTTCACCGTCTCATGCTTTGGCATTTGTTTAGGTTTTGTGAATGCACTTCTGGCTCTGTGTCTCGAAATACAGCTGAGTATATTTCCATACCATACCTGTTTTCTTCTGTCATGATTCCTTTTATAACACAGAATCAGCTCGTTCTCCAGTGAATTTTTTTTCTGCACGGGTCGGCCACACACTCTCCATGCGCCCACTGACTTAACGTTGTGATAGTTTACATGCGAGTCGCGTGTAATGACAGACAGACAGCCGTCTAGTTTGATAGCGATGTCAAATATTGCGCGTCGATCAAATCGGTATTCTTGCAACAATTTTTCATCGCTAATTTAGTCCAAAGGGTTCTCCCTATTCCCTATGATCTTCAGCTGGTTCCATAAATTCAGCCATGTCGTCTTATTTTTGTCCGCGTTACTCTTAAGGTTACGATTTCCAAACCTTAAGTTATACTAAGGGAAATTACCGTTAAGGGGTTTTATGCAACAGTTAACGATTACTTAAGTGAAAAAACAGCATTTAAGGGAAATTCTAAGTGTTTATGACATTTCACTTTAAAAAAAAAACGTTAAGTAACACTTAAGGCTATTTTTCTGCAACACCCTTAGGTTTAAGGGAAACATAAGGGCGACCTTAAGGGAAAATTACACTTAAGGTGCTTTATGCAACCGGGCACTGGAAGAAAATCTGGAATTTATAAAAGGACATAAAATGGCCTCTTTAATAGGCTAATTCTAGACTCTGGCACCCCAAACACTCCAGGAAATAGTGAGTCAACTCCTGCCAAGTTTCAGAGAGTAACACCTGTTAGAACAAACGGCGATGGGCCATGGTTCTAACAGATTTGCAGCATACCTTTTGGAGAACTTGAACATTAGTGCGAGCTGTCTTCTGACACCCCCGAGCATGGCAGCCAATCGGGCCTCCATCCATTGAAAGGTCTGCTGGCTCACCTGAAGAACATGACATAACATACATCCTCTATTATGTCTATCCCGTTCGATCAACAGCCTAAGGAGCCCGTTCTCATCCCAAGGCGTCATATACTGACGCTTTTGACATTTCGTCTACATCCAACGCACATGGCACCCTTTAGCGTCAATATTACCCCTTTTCCACCAAGGCAGAGCTGGTGCTGGTTCGGAGCCAGAGCCTAGTTTCAATTCGGTTCTTTGTTTTTCCACACGCAAAGCACCAGCTCCGAACCAGGAAAAGTGGTTCTTAAGTAGCACCAAATCATTGCTGGTCTAGAACAGAGCCAAGTAAGAACCGCTTGCGTCAGGGGCTGGGGGCGGGGTTACCGTGACCAACAAGACGAATAGAAACTTGTGACCGCCATTTTTAAATAGCAGCTAGTCGAGCTAATAGCAGCTTGATTATAATATCCGTCTATGTAAGTTACGGCGAGCTGCACAAACGCGTTGGATTCCAATGTATTTTTGCAAACCATGAGCATCCATAGTAACGCAACGTCCGTTATTGTTGATGGCTTGTTCGAGATGCATCGGAGCGGCACGGACCGATCGGAGCTGCAGGAGTGTTTGGAGATCATACGACTCCTTGTGCTTTTGGATCGCTTTCGCAGTGCTTTGATGTCATGCGGCGATCGATCTGCGAGAAGCCGATGCATCTCGAACAAGCCTGGCGTGTTTGTGTTTGGCGCTACCGCACTATAGCGTTGCTGGGCAACATGAGACGTATGCAGTGACGTAAGATCTGGCTCTGTTGTGGCTCTCTAGCCGGTGGAAAGGCAAACCGGTTCTTAGTAAGCTTGTCAGTCGAACCAACTCCGAACCAGCTCTGGCTCTGAACCAGCACCCGGTTCTTGTTGGTGGAAAAGGGGTATTTGAGACGCAGATAGATATGGGCCAGAAGGCGCCTCCTAGCGGTCTAACCCTAACCCTACCCCAGACCTAAACCTACCCATATCTATCTGCGTCTCATATTGACGCTAAAGGGTGCCATGTGCGTTGGATGTAGACGAAATGTCAAAATATGTCAAATATGACGCCCTAGGATGAGAATGCGTTGGCCTAAGACTTCAGGATAACAAATAAATGCATATTTCTTGCCATGTCCGCTGCAAAGATGGCAACGTGCAAAGCGGTCAGAGACGGCGCCCTCAAGTGAGGATCGTGAAGTATCGCAGGCAAAAGCTCAGTCAGCTCTCTGGTCCACAGCTGCACTCCTCGCTGCCACGCGGTGTCCAAACGCACCCCTGTCACGTCGTGGTACGCTCCAGCTAGAGTGGCCAGGGGTCCTGCGAGAAATTAAACCTACAATAACGCTAATACACACTGACAGGCATTTTCGAATGAAAGGCGATGACATGAAGCCACAGTTGTGCTGGTGCATAATTGCGACTGGTTTACAGATGCTTACGCAATGATGTGACTAGAACGCTGTCAAGATCAATTACAGATAATGTGACCTCAATTGCCACAGGAAATCATTTAAACATGTGCTTGGTGTTTTAGAAAAATAAAGTTACGTGTTTCCTGTCAATCACCCAGTGCAGCTCAAAGGGAACTGTGCCTCGCAACTGTAGAAGAAATCAGAATGAACAGGGAGACGCAGAACTTGATAGGGCAAACTCACTCCTGAGCTCTTGTTGGACCTGTTGAGACATGAGATGCAGGATTTGGAGCGCGTGCGGTAGGCTGTGTGTGAGCGAGTGTCGGAGCGGGCCGGTCGTCCATGCTTTCCACAGCGCTCCTGCTCTCTGCAGCAACAGGGTCTCGGCTCGCTGGGACAGGGACAGCGGGCCGTTACTCAACTCCAGCAGGAACATGCTGTCGCCTGCCTAGATGATGAATAATGACACGTGATCGACATGATATTTGATACTGCGAACTTTTATGAAGCCTAAACAACCGGTCACACTAATTTTTGGGGTTTTATGGATTCACGGATTTGTGGATTTAAAACTTTCCAGCTGAAAGATTTATGCTTTAATTATTTTTGAACTACAATTGTATTGGGACAAATAGTCCAGCATATATGGAAACTTAATCAATCCTTTTAAAAAGCATGCCATGATGCTTTTCATGAAGTTGAATGAGAGATTTATTATATACGTATATACACTCTACTGTTTAAAAGATTGGGGTTGGAAACATTTTTTAATGTTTTTGAAAGAATTCTCTTATCTCAAAAACAGTGAAATATTATTCAAATTTAAAAAAACTATTAAATAACTGTATTTTAATCTAGTACATATATTCAAATGTAATTTATTCCAGTGATAGTAGTGATGCTGAAAATTCAGCCTGGCATCAGTCACATGATCCTTCAGAAATCATTATAATATGCTGATTTTTTATTATAACTAATGTTGAAAACAGCTGCGCTGCTTAAAATTGTTGTGGAAACTATTCTATTCCGATGAATAGGAAGTTCAAAAGAACAGCTTTTATTTGAAATAAAAGATTTTACTGTAACTTTAGGTCCATTTAATGTGTCCCTGCTGAATAAAAGTATTAAGAAAAGAAAAAAAACACTGGCCACAAACGTTTGAACAGTATTTCATTGTAAAATTCTCATTACAAATTGTTCATTTCTAAATGACTTTGTTTACACAGCACTTAAAGGGATGTTTTCAGCAAAAAGGGAAATTATCCTAAACCCTAATGACTTTCTGTCTTCTGTGGAATGAACATATTTTGAAGAACGTCTCTACTGTCCATACAATGAAAGTCAATAGTGTCCAAAACAACACTGGACCCCATTCATTAACAGTGTGTGGATGGACCAAAAAACCACTGAGACATTAAAAAAAAAAAAAGTTCCACAGAAGAAAGAAAGTTGGTAACACTTTATTTCGATAGTCCACTTTAGACATTCTACTAACTATAAGGATCTTTGCAGTTACATGTCAACTAACTCTCATTAGAGTATAAGTAGACTGTATTCTTAATATCTGCTAACACTTTATTCTGATACTCCTCCAACAGACATTCTAGTAAGTAACTTTAGTAGAAAGTAACTTTACAACTACATGTCAACTTATTCTACTAACCCTAACCTAACAGTCTACTAATACTCTAATGAGATTTAGTGGACAAGTTACTTAAAGTTTGTAATCTAAAGTGGACCATCGAAATAAATTGTAACCATGCAGAAAGCCATACAGGTTTGGGCGACAAGAGAGTGAGTAACTGATGTTTCATTTTTTTGTGGTGAACTAACACTTTAACCTAGTTCAAATTTGTAGCAGGACAGCCTGTGAGATATTACAAACCTGTCTTCTGAATGTTAACAGAAGATGCTGAAGTCTCTGAAGTCTGTCCAAAAGTTTACTCCTTATCCGGTACCCCAGCTGCTGGAGCCGTGCCTGTAGAGATATGTTATCAAAAAACCAGACATGAAAAACAATGTTTTACAAGGTATCTGGCAGATTTATATTATGTGAGTAACATCATAACTCCTTCCCGTCCTCACCTCTGAGGCCCAAAGGCACTCCCTGCATCCCTTAGCTTGAAATAGCAGACTCTGATTGGCTGCTCCTACAGAAATAAGGGCAAGGGTTTCATTCTCAATGCCATGACCGCCTCTCTGAGCCTCCAGGGTGAACCAGTGATGCCCCTCCAAACAGAACGCCACTCGGATATCATCAGATGTTTCTGACGGCAAGCAGAAACGCATACAAAACTGATTTAGAAAAATAACATGATTAAAAATCGTTTGTTATTAAACCTGACAAAAAGAAAAGAAAAAATGCAGTAGATTAACAGGTTAAGCAAGGGTTTGATCATGTTGTTAATTTAGAGACCTTAAAATTTTGTGTATCAAATATGATACAGTAGGCTTTATATATATATATATATAGCATCATCACCAGTGTGGTATCCAGCAGCAGCTCGTAGGCAGCGTTTTCCCAGCACCCCCTGCAGCCAGAGCATCTCACTGCGGTCTAGTTTTGCATGAACCTGGATCTCCACATTCCTGCCTGAAGACAGGGAACTGCAGGCCAGCTCCGCACTCCAGTTTCCTACCTGCCACTGTAAATCACACATATTTATTTTGTTCATTTGTTTTCATTTGTCCACCAAACATCATGGTGAGGAAGTTCCATTGGCTTTTACTGTTTTATAGCAAGCTATTACATTTCGACACACTAGAAATAACTACAACCAAATTTGAAAAAGTTACACTTCTTCATATAATGTTCTCTCTAAACGATTTGGTTGTACATACTGAAATCTGTCATTCTGAAACTCAACACGTTGAAGACCGGTTGCGGTGCGAGTACCTCTGTGAGCAGAGAGTAGTTGGAGCGCTGACTGCTGCTGATGTTTCTGAGCGACAGTGTGAAGGTGTTGTGCTGAGTGTGTCCAGACACAGACACACGGGTGTGAGTGTGCAACATCTCCTTGCCTGAGTTCACTCTGTGAGATCCAGACCAAATTAAAGCCTGCGGGAAAAAAAGATCACTGTTACAATATAAATATTATTCATAAAATGAAAATTACCCCATGATTTAATCACCCTCAAGCCATCCTAGATGTATATGACATTTTTCTTTCAGACGAATACATTCGGAGTTATATTGAAAAATGTGCTGGCGCTTCCAAGCTTTATAATGGCAGTGAATGGCTGTTTCTGTTTTGAAGTCCATCAAAGTGCATCCATCCATGATAAAAGTGCTCCGGGGGGTTAATAAAGACCTTCTGAAGCGAAGCGATGCGTTCGTGCAAGAAAAATATCCATATTTAAAACTTTATCGACCAAAACTAGCTTCAGGCAGACGGCTGGAAAAAGGTAACATTTAAAAAAAAAAGTATATTTATACTATTTTTTTCATTTATTTGATTAGGTAAGGCAAGGCATTTATATTTCATACACTATGGCAATTCAAAGTGCTTTACACAAAAAGGAATTAAAATAATCACAAAATAAAACCAAGGAAAATTAAAACAGTTATACAAGGAATTGAAAGAGATCATAGG